ATACGACAGGCAAAAAAAAACTGCCTGTCTCGCTTAAATAAACTTTGATACGTGAAGTAAACTGGCTTTAGGTTTTTTAATATTATAATTGATTTTTATTCAAAAAGAGAAAGTAAAAAATTCAGCCTTAAAATATAAAATTAAAATGAAGTAAAAAATTTTACACTATACTGTATATGTAAGATATCAGATATGCACTATAAAATTCATAGAAGACATGATCATAGCATTTATCTTGAAATTAAAAATAATGTTTAAATCATGCTGAGTTAAAATTTGTAAAATAGAAAAAAGGGTGTGAATAATAGATCTTGATACTTTCATGCAATGTAATCACGGTAAGAAATATGTTACAGCGTATAATTTGAATTATTATTATTTGTTTAATCAGAAAACATGGGTTATAAAATCCTTGTGACAAGGATTAACAAACAATTCTGACAATTTGATGTAAACAACTTTTAGTAATATAAGCCTTAATGGCAACAATACATTGATATACAAATAAATATAATTACATACAGTAGCAGTCTATGCACAATGTATAAGTATTTAATTTTCATTGACCTTTAAATAAAATCTGTTTTGTGAAAATCTGTCTTACAGCACTACCTCTATGCTGTGAAGAATATAAGTGACTCACATGATTTATTTTCGCTGACAAATACATCTATAAAATGGACATAACTAATAGAGTTATTCTGTTGTATTTTCCCGGAGCTAGGACATAAGTAATTATTCCCCATATGAACACTTCAACACCGAAGGTGCTATTAAAGCACCACTCAAATTATCAAGTCCCGACACTCGCAGATGAAGTATCTTTGATGAACAAACTATTCCATCATTTATATCATATTCATTTAAACCGTTTTTCCTTATTCGATTGGTTCTTGGCAGTGGTACTTCTATCAGGTGGGATGGAAAATCGAAGATACTTGGCACTGCATGTCGCTCTACATACCTGATTTCATTTATATATTAAATAAAGTCAGTCTCATGAAAATGAACTGAACAAATGTAGCTTCTAGCTGTAGGCATCCATGCATCTCTTCTCATTGCAATTACCTACTTTGTCAACTCTTCATTGATGAAAGAAAACCTACGTAACACAGTAAACAAAGTAAACCAAACATTTTATGACTTAAAACTGTTTAATATAGTTTTTAATGTTTAAATCACTTGAATGTACTGAGTAGTAAGCCAAAAGGCCTTTTGGATGAGATCAAAGACGAGGTTGTGGTATGTCCTATTCCACTTACTTGTTAGTGGCTGGGAAGCTATCTGCTCATTACCTTTGGTCGAGGTCAGGGGGTCATAGGCTTCCGCCTAGCTTGGTCTTCGGGCCAAGTTATTATGGCTATATTTTGGGCTGTGCCCGCTGTCATTACGGCGTCTAGTGCTGGGGGCGTTCGCCGATGTCGGCTCCCTGGTCGTAGGGTGTTTAAGCGTGATGACGGTCCACGGATCCAACACTGGGCTAGTTCGGCGGAGGATCATCAAACTTTTTCAAACATCAGTAAGTTTTGCATTAAAATTACCTGTGGAAAGTAATTCCAGACTCTCGTTTCAAACGGTTGATGGGCCTACAGTTAATAGTACTTGTTGGCATAGCTTCATGCGCAAGTGCAACACCATAAATTCAGTAAGAATTGCAAAAAGTATTAAAATTTAAAAGATATATAAAAAATTAATATTTCTATAAATTACAATGCATTAAACATCAGTTTAGTGACTAGTGAAACTCACCTATGAAATATGAGAGTAATTCCTAAACTAAATGCTGAAAAAAAAAGGAAAAACCATCAATCTGCTTAGTAAAAATACGGGTAAAACAAGTAAAACTGTAAACTGTACCGCATGACAATCAGTTTATCTGATATACGTAAAGTGAAGAATTTTGCACTTTTTGGTTGGCTTTATTCTTTTTATGATTTCATGTGTTTTTCTACACTTTTTAGCAAGTTTTAAATTTTAACTTTTACAGTTTTACTAGTTTTTACCCCTTTTACTTGATTGTTTTTAAAAAATCATCGTTATTCCAAGTCACAATTAAATATTATTTTAGTATTAACAATTGTACGAAAGAATGGACTGAAGAGGACAAATAGTCCGAAATGCGTATCCACTCCGTTGTGCAAAAATACTGTAATACGTTGTATAAAATAAAGTATATTTTATTCATCAAGTGTGTTCCTGTGTGATACGTTCCCAATTTTAAAATTTTGTGTTTTTTCCGAAAGAATATAGAAAGAACAGGAAACAACAAAGTATTAAATTTTTAAAAATTTTTTTCAATCTTTTTATTGGATATGATAAAAAAGATTTTATTTATTCTTCTTTAATCATATTTCATAATTAGTTGTAATTGTGAATGCATGAAATCTGTGAAATAGGTTAAAATTTAAAATTTCAATTACAGTATTTCCTTTGGCTTTTGGTTTAGGTGGCAAAAACAGAATTGTATTGATAATTTTACAATTCAATCAGTAAATCAGAAAGCATATTTTAGTTTAAAAATTCTTACAGTTTTTTTGTAATGCAAGAAAATTTTACAATATCAATTTATTAAAACTCTAAGTTCTGTGAGCACAAAGAAAGCCATGTTCAGGAAAACTATCAATAGTTGCTCCAATTGTCAGTCTAACAAAACTTATTGTAAATACGATGGGTTCTACTAGGCTCACAATTGAAGCAGTTAGGTATGAGAAACGAGAACACATCTGTGAAAATTTCTGAGACCAGTGTAAAATATTATTTTGGGAGTGGAGAGAAAACAAGGGAAACTTGTGATTTTGTTAAAATTGACTCAAAGTGTGATCCGATCATAAACCACTTAACAGCTGTAGAAAAACATCAAACAAATTAACAAGTAACAAATGAGAGGACGGCCACCCACATTCGCATCAGGTAGACGTATCAGAAATCTTCTGTGACCAGAGTTTTCTGACTGGTCGCAAGTTTTCTTCCAAAATTGGATATAGGATCAGAGAGAATAAGGCTCGGAACCGATAGCACAATGATCTCAGATATCGACAAGCCCACTGAGATAGGTTATATTCCTCCGGAAAAGAAACTCAGGTACCGGTGAGGTTTGAGATAGGACGATAAGTGTAGACAGAGTCAATCCACGGATCAGAAATTATCAAGGAGACATCCGATTCCCGATTGTTCCAGAGCATCCTCGATCGTTAGTGGGCCACTCGGTACATTATCGTGACGTGATAAGCTGTGTACATTTCTTGTAAATAAATTGTGTATACTGAATTGAGTTGAGTGTAGAGGTATATTTCTAATGAACATACATTTCGAACATCTCATGCTAACTTACTAAGTTGGCTTGAGGAGACGGGAGATAGAGAGACACTCTCACTGTCAAGATTTTTCAAATTTGGGTTTTCAACTCGGATTCGATCCTGGATTTCCCAAAGCAATAGGTTGACGCCTTAATAGTCTTGGTCATCCGCCCGGTCTGTTAACTTACGTTTTGTAGCCGTGATTTAAATATAAAACTCTTCCCTTCTTGTATCCACCAAGAGAACCTTTATAAAAGACTCATTACGGGTTTGATTAGGCCAACAACAGGGTAACTGGGCGAGGACAATGTTTAATATATCCAGATTTACTTTCTGAAGATCCAACTTGGACTCGAATCTGGGATTCCCTCAGAGCGACAAGATATACGTTTACTGCCTCAATCACCAGAGCATTAATACTATCCAATTAGCTTACTTTGTGAAGAACTCTAAGACTACAATTACTATAAAATTTCCTATGTAGAGATTTTAGGCCAATATGAAATTTGATGACGTAACGTTTACATTGTTATTTCCTATTTACTTTACATTTAGTTATTTGTTCTGGTTTAACATTTTTTTCAGTCTAAATATTACGGTTTTATTACAAAAAACAAACCGATTAAACTCAAGGGATTCCATTTGTTATTTACAGCAACAATTATTATTTTTAACTAGACAAATGATAATTTTTCTGTAACAAGAAAACAACTGATAAAATAAATTGTGCGTCGTAACCTTACTAGTCTTTTTCCAATTTATTAAATATACTGTATACATATAAGTTAATAAGCATTTTTAACCTTTACGCTGCATTTATTATTGATAAATTCATGATATTTATGAAAGGAACACGTCTACAAAAAACTGAAACAATTATTTTTAATATATTTTCAATCAATACTAATTTTCTCTCTCTCTTTTTTTTGTTTTTAATGCTTATTTTGTCCAGAATTAGGCCACAACTTCTAATTTTGAATAACATTTTTGACTAAATATATTTTACAGTAATTTATATATTTTGTCCTGCTATATATTAGATTAGAATAAATAATGATTGATTTAGATATTTATTCTGGATTTCCAATGCTTTTCTGTAAATTTGTTCCTTGTACGACTTCTAAAAACATAAAATATTGCATTTTAATGAATCATATAAGTAAAACAATGAAGATTATCCCGATAATCTATATAATCAAATATCAATACGAAGCTATAACAAATATATATGTTTACAACACAAAACTTTCATTATATAAATGAATATTTAGTATAATAGCTATTCAAGTAAATAAAACAATGCCATAAAACTTAGCAAGAGCGATTCGATTCAGATTTGAAACGGTTTAAATGTTAATAGACGAAAACCGTGCACCTGTCGGGAATAACCAATCAGCAACGAACAAAGGTGAGGTCGTTCTCGTGCCGCACCTTTTATATTCCAGGTTTGTTCGAGATCGGACTAATGCTTTAACTTTAGTGAAGTGATTCTTTTTTATTTTCGTGTTTTCGTCATCAATGGAACCTCCAAGATTATTTGTAGTGTTGTTAATCCCCGTCGTTGTGGTGGTGGGACAGTTTAATTGGCAAGTACGGGATAAGTTCGATGAAGTCACAAACAGGATGAGAAAAGTGACGGAAGATAATTGTAAAATTGTAGACATCAATGATATGTTTTTGCCAAATAAAACTGTAACCCACGTACCCAATACAAAACAATTGGGTATAGATCCCGTTTTTCCTAATAGAACGAACCTTCTCCACATTCATAACATGGCAATATCGCGTGCTTTCTTTTACAGGTGAGTGTTTTCGAGGTGGGGTCGCGAACGATGAATCGCGCTCAGTGTTTATTTTCATTAACATGAAATAGATTTGAAAAGGCATTCTTTTACTACTCTATTTTATCACTCTATACTTTTAACATTTAATAATTAAACTTAAATTAAAGTTTAAAAAAAAACAGGTGTGCGATTTGATAAAAGAAAAATTTAAAATATAAACGTTAGAATGCATAAAAATGATAAATAAATTAAAAATTTGTATTTTAGGGTGGGACTATGCAGACGGGAATTTAGTAGCGAGCGATATAGTTCTCGCAAAGGAAAACATTCACAAGCTAGAAGCGAGAAATCTCGCTGGCGAGAACGAATTTCTGGTTCTTGCATATCTGACAGGGTTTGATATTTATCGCGTCTCGCCTCTTCTCGCCACATATTATCGCTCGGTCGCGTCTGCATAATCGCATCCTTAAAGTAGTAACTGTTAAATCAATAAAATAAAACAAAACAATTAAAAATATATGTAATAAAAAATACAGAATTATATACTTATAGTGTTAGTGTAATTCATTTAACATTAGCTTATTCATAAATCTCACACCTATTATAATTATGGTGATTTTATTGATAAAATACTGTACACATATTTTTAATTGTTCTATTTACATAATACATGTATATGTTAAAATTAAATTTAAAAATCCGATGAAAAACTATGGATAAAATTGCTTGTACAGTTTAAAATGAAAATGAAAATATAATTGTATCATTAACAGTTGTAAAAAATGTTTTGTGAAAAGTTATTAGCAATACAATTTGGAAATTATAAATGAAATTAGTGAAATTATTGAAGAAATGGACTTTTTATATCAGGATATACTTGGATATGTATGTTTTGAAACAAAAATATTCCAAAATCATTGATATTTGTTAGATTGAGTTGGTTCAGTTGGCAAAATAATATGACACAAATGGAAGTCTGTCTGAAAAATCTGTCATTAACAATTGTTCATGCAAATTTTTGGCTATTTAATAATTTAATTATAGTTATTAGATCTACTAAATGGATATAATTGCCAGTTTTTTCTTTTCATTTAATGTTTTGTCATTTGTCAATTAAAGGCCATAATTACTTTGTGTGATCATATCAGATGTGTTTAGAGTTTTTGGAACTTTTTTGAAAGTAAAACATTATAAAATGTTTATTAAAGAAGTTCCTCAAGTATAAATTTAGTTCAAATAACTGTTTTCCAGAGTGAAAATTGAAAACTTTTTAAAAAACTGCTTTTCACTCTAAAAAAGCATTTTTGTTTTGGATATCATGTTATATTAAGAACAATAAATATTTGAGATTCTGCACTGCACTTAAATCACAATAACAATCCACAAAACCTTTTTATAACAGTGTTGTGTCTGTAACAATCTTCACTAACGTTTTCAACCTCCACCGAGGTCTTCTTCAGGTGGTGACTAAAGAAGTCACCATCAGTCATCACCTGAAGAAGACCTCGGTGGAGGTTGAAAACGTTAGTGAAGATTGTTATGGACACAACACTGTTATAAAAAGGTTTTGTGGATTGTAATTACTGAATGCAGTGTTAAGATTAGAAGTCGTTTTGTGACTTAAATCACTTTATGTATGCATATGTAAAACAGTAATATTTCTATAAAGATTGTACATAATTTGTCTGAGTGCTTTCTTGAGTGCTTGAAGTTTTCAAAATAAGCTATTTTACCAAATTGATTGATTCCCTCTTTGTCACATACTCTGTGTAAACAACTGCCTTTGCAGTAAAAACGATCATTGACATGATTTTATGAGCAGAAGGAATAGTTTTGAAGTTTCCTAATGGACAGAGAAATAACAATGGCTATATTGACTTGATTGTCTCTTGTTCCAGAGGTGCCCAGACATTGGGGCACTTGTGACACATGCCTCCTTTTCGTCTGTGTTACCCTTTTTGCTAATCTCCAGGGACCCCAAATTCCATAATCAACAAACAACAGAAAATACATGACTTCTAGTTTATACTCAAATATAAATGAAACTAATGAACAATATTTGTCCATTGTCCCATGCAACTTTGTCATATGTTGACTATAACTTGGCCTTGATTGCAACCAGTGCCACTTTGTGAGAGTACTGATCTGGTGTTGAATCGCAGTTTGAAGCTTCTTGCATAATGTATGATGCCTTTTTTTTGTGCCTCCCCTTTTTTATAGTCTGTGGGTGCTGCTGTCTCGTTCTCTAGGTCATAATAAATAATCTATTACTCATCTCTGGTAATGGCATGAAGTTCTTGAAAACTTTCACTCACTATGCTTCCATAGTATCTGTTAGTTATACTGTTACTCATCTGATTTTCTGTATTTCAAAAACTGAACACTGTGTTGCATTCATTCTAAAACTGGTGCATAATTGAAGAGCAATTTCCTCAAATCAGTGCATCAGTTTGAGCTTTATTCTTATGCTTACTAAAATGTGTTTCCCTGGTCAGAAACATTTATCTTAGTTCTATTGCTGTTTTTGTACATTGAATCTACTTCCAAACATTATTCACATTCATATGACATTGCCATAAATAGCTTGCAAATATATGTAAATTTTGATAAGTGCGCAAGCTTTCAATGCTAAAAATTTTATCACTGATTGCTGCTTTATACAAAATGAAGAAGACAAGTTTATGCTTAAACTTGACTGCTACACAATGATGCAACACAATAAATTGAGACTTTCCACCTAAATGCTAGATATTTGTGGCTATTAAATGGTGACCATGTGTTTCCATTGCTGCAGTTCACAGAATGTTCTGATAGAAGACCTTATTATGTTAATCAACCCTTATAAAATTAAAATAAATAAAAGTATTAAATAAGTCTATTTATTGTAATATAATTTTTGAAATTATATTACCAAAGTTTGGCTCCTATCTAAATAAATATTTTTGTAAAATATTAATTTACAACTTACTATAATTGTTTGATATAAGCTTCTAATCTGTTATTATCTATTAGTTAGTAATAAATAACTATGAGTTCATTGGCCTTATTGTTGTTTACAGATTCATCACACACCTTTCTGATTTTTATTCATTAACTCATGATGTCCCGGAATGTATTTCAACTTATTTAACAACCCTCTTTAGGGCTGTTGAATAAAAATTGGAAAGACATGTGATGAACACGTAATCATAACAAAAAGGCCAGTGGGCTCATAGTTGTTTATTACTAATTTATTGTAGTCTTTGTATTTCTTGTAAAATTAATACTGATATTTTCAGATAAATAATTAAATAATAGTTATTTAAACACCACACATACATATATATATATATTGTTTAAATAACTCAGATCTCATTACATGAACTGTGACCTTAAAGATGGTGGCATTGCTGTAAAATGACATTGTGCATGCAATGTCATTTTACAGCAAATACAGCCAAATCAAATTTAAACCACACTTAGGGACTTGTGTTGGAACAAACTTATTATAAAGCAAATGTGACAGTTTCGGTTTACAAGTTTATAATTTCTATTTTAATTATTTAATTATTTAATATGACAACTCAAGAAATTGAAAGCCTAAAAAAAAAGGAAGCGAACTTGTAAGTTTAATAAAGATTGGCTGACACAAAACACATTTCAAAAATGGTTATGACCTGTTTGAGATAATTGTGCCATCTTTTCAAAATTGCTGACCCTGTCTGGGTCAGCAATTTTGAAAAGATGGCAACACTAACTGATAATATTCCATATCATCAAAACAAAAAAATTTTTGTACAACTCCTTTGGCTGGTAAGGTAATGCTCACATGTTTCTGGGATCATAAGGGTTCAATTCTGAAACATTATATGCTTAGAGGATTATCAGTGAGCAGTACTACATATTTGACTTGCTTCAGAATCATTTGAAACCCACAGTAAGGTCCAAATATTATGGTTTGCTCAGTTCTGATATACTGTTACAATGTGATAACATACAGCGACACACATCTCTTATGACAGTCTAAAAAATGACAGTTTAGATCTGTGTATGGAGCATCTTCCACATCCCCCTATTCACCTGACCTCGCACAGAGTGATTATCATATCTTTGGATCACTTGAGGAGGCTCTTGATCACAAAAAATCCAATACAGACAATGAGTAAAAACAGCAGTAATTGAGTGGCTAAGCAGTCAACCAAAAACTTCTTCTCGTGGAATCTAAGCACTAGTGAAGAGTTGGCACACATGTATTGAATGTGGCAGAGATGACATTAAAAAGTAACAAAGTGTTTTCATTCATATTTATATATATTTGTTAATAAAATATAATTAAGGTTATTTTTAACTCATTCTTATACAGTACTGTATATAGTTTTTAATTGTGAATAAATAGATGATCAAAATATCAATTTTAAATTTAATGTCAGAAAATATTTCTTTTTATATTTTTTAATTCATAAATATAATTTTTTTAGTTACATTCTTCAGAAGGCTGCAGACAATGATGAACCTGGTTTTATGTATTATTTCTTGTCCACAATTGCTGATGTTGCTTCTAACAGATTTATTAATAGTAGTGCAATTTATTTTTCTCCAAATGTATCTTATACACCATCATATAAAGGCTTCTTTAATAAAACCTTACCTCTTTTTGCACCTAGAGCTTTTAGGTATGTGCTTAATGTTATTTACAATTACTGTAATGTATTATTTATTATAAAAAAATATTAAATGTGTATTAAGAATATTAAAAATTATAGTTCTGTCTATAATTGTTAATGTTCCTATACTTTTTTAACTAATATTTTGTATTATTTTTGAGATTTTGTTTTATTTGAATCTAATAGTGTATAGAATTTTATTAAACTAGAAATAAATTTTGTAAATAATATCATAAAATAAAAGTATATCATGAACATTCACTCAGTTTAATTTGAATATTATATAAAATCTCAAAGCAGAGTTTAATTATCATCATCTGTACGAGTATTGCCATAATAGAAATCAATTGGATTATCCAAGTTACTTTTAATTTAAAAATGATAAACTAATCAATTGATTAATAATAAAAATAATTTACTACTAATGATATGCATGCCAACTTCTTTTTGTTAATTTTATTAATTAGATAATTTAACTTACCAGTAATTTGTTTAATTTGACTGATGGATAGTGGGATTTATAGGTCTACAATTTTTTCAAATTGCAGACCAATAACAATATTTAACTTTAGTAGTTATTTACCATTTTGTATATTCGTTAATCAATCACTATTTTTTTAAAAAATAAATAAATAAATAAATATTTGTATATTGTTCTCTGTTTGTGAATTTACATAATCTAGTTTTTTTTTATACATTAAGGTCTGATGATTTCAATGATCCTTTTCACTTGGAAAGAATATCTACTTTAAATACTATTGAAGCAGTTGATCTTGGAGCTATACCTAGTGACTCAATAAGTGCTAATTACACCAGAGAAGAATATAAAATAAATGAATGGTATTCTGCTTGGCTTCCTGATTCAACAAAACGTCATGATACAAAAACTACTTATCATGTGCAAATTACTCATAATAATGGAACTAATGAAACTTTTGTATGGCATGGACCACCAGGTAATATTAATCTTTTATCTGTAATTAACATAATTTCTGTAACTGAAATATTTTTATAATAGGAAACACCTTAAATTTTCAAACATTTATTTTGCATCATGAACTAGTACTTTTATTTGAAGGATCATCAGTGTTGCCACCTTTTCAAAATTGCTGACCTGGACAGGGTCAGCAATTTTGAAAAGGTGACACATTGTCTCAAACAGGTCGTAACTATTTTTGAAATTCGTTTTGTGTCAGCCAATCTTTATTAAACTTACAAGTTCACTTCCTTTTATTTTTAGGCTTTCAATTTCTTGAGTTGTCATATTAAATAATTAAATAATTAAAATAGAAATTATAAACTTGTAAACTGAAACTGTCACATTCGCTTTACAATAGGTTTGTTCTAACACAAGTCCCTAACTGGTTTGAATTTGAAACTATACCAGGCATGCGCAATTTCATTTTACAGCCAAGAACTGAACAATGTGCATGCCAGTTTTAAACCAGTTAGGGACTTGTGTTGGAACAAACCTAATATTTGCCAGAGATATTTGCAAGTTAGAATTTTAAAAGTATAATTTCTGCCACTCAGCCTAGGGATGAGATGGAGATAACTTTGGGTGGGGGTGTGAAGTTAGTCTTTAACCGTTAAAATAAAATACTTAGAAATATTTTTATAAATTTAATTTGTTTTATCACAATTTCTATGAAAACCAGACAAATTAATGATTAATCTGGATCATGAATTTAAAAACCGGCCACTAAGGATCATCATCATATTCAACTTACAATACAGTTTAAAGGAACAAATTTTAATTCTAATTAGAATTTTCAACATACGAGGGAGGACCCAAAAAAAACCAAACTGAAAGTGCGCTGCCATTCATAGACTTAGTAGAGAGTTCTCCTGCTACAGTAGATGGGGTTAGTAGAGACCTTCATGAAATAGCTGTGTAGACGGTGTCGGTTTGTAGGTTTACATTTGAGCGTAGCGTTGTGTTTCTCTTACTGTTATTTTGTTCCACCTGCGAAGTTCTGGGCATTCTTCAACCTCTCGAAATGATGAAAACATTGAAAAATCTCCCAAAAAAGTTTTAAGACGTCTGCAAGAGGATGTGCGAAGGAAATACCCAGTACTTTGTTGATCAGGTGACTGGTTCCTTCATCACGACAATGCCCCCACCCACACGGCCTTACGAGTGACCCACTATTTGGCCTCTCAGGGATGGTTTGTTGTTCTCACCCTCTGTATTCACCAGACCTAGCCCTGTGTAACTTTTTTCTGAATGAAGAAAAATCTAAAAGGGAAGCGTTTTGATGATGTGGAGATGGTAAAAAGAGCTTTGCTAAGGGCACTGGATGATATCAAGTTTGAAGAGTTCCAGAGATGCTTCAAACAGTGAGGAAAAAGACTTGACAAGCGTATTGCATTTAATGGAGAGTACTTGGAAGGTGACTGAAGGAATTTTGTAAAAAAGTTAATAAATAAAGATTTTATACAAAAAATCCAGTTATTTTTGGGTACATATATATATGTACCCCCACATATATATGTTCTTTTAGACAAACTAATCAATCTACAAGAATATTTTTAATACCATTACAAGAATATCTTCTTATTAAAAATAAAAATAAATTATTAAATGCATTTAAAATATATAAAAATGTGTATTAACTATATGGAATTATAAACTATTGATTGCTTGGAGAGTGTCTTCTGTAGAACTGCCATTCATCCTTATTTATGTGAATGCATCCTTGTTTTGAAAGAATAAAACTTACTGTCATTTTTGTAAATTTATTATTCTGTTCATATTTCCAGTGACTGGACATTTTTTTCTACATTCTGACAGTAATTCATGTAAAAATGCTTTCCTCTGTTGAGATTTCTTTTATTGGTTACAGCATAGTGTTAAATATATAATTTAGAAGTTTTCCTATCCAACCAATTACATTGGAAATTGAGTTATGTCTCCACTTCCAATATTACATTTTTAGCATCATTTTTTTGCTTTGCATTTCAGGTTTTTGGTTCCAGTTCTTACCTTCATTAGTAAGTAATCATAACTTTCAGTTTTTGCTAAAGCCATACAGATCACTTTTCAGTCATATATGTACAACAGTAGCTTTTGTTGTGTGTTTACTGTTTAATGAACCTATGGTTCATCTATCTAGATTCATTGAAGTAATTGGTTGCTTGAATCAGCTTACAACATAATTTTATTCATTATAATTAATATAATAGAAAAAAATAAGACATCAGTCATTATCTAGAAATGCTATAAGATTGTGTAAATTAGAAAAGTCCAGTCTAGTGTGAGCCATGTTTGCAGAATTAGTGTAAGGCAGATTATCAAGCTTATTTAAAAAATCTTATTAAGCTCATTGTTTACTAAGTTTAATAAATAAGAAGCAGCAAAAGACCAAACTGGAATGCAGTAATTGATCAAGGACTGAAACTTAACAAAAAATAAAAATATATATATAAAAACATCCAAATTATTTAAATTAATTAATATATTTATAATTATTAATTTTAATAAGAGATGGCGCCTAACGCTTACCTCTAGTGCCAAATTAATTACGTAATTTATTTAGAATTTAGCATTAAAAAATAGCCCGATTAATTTACGGCATTCGGTTGGTGTCTTATTATATTGGATATCGGGTTCGGAGATGTTTATTTATATAAAAACATCTTTGAAGAAATTTGCCTGCAAAACCACCAAAGCTTGCCATGACAAATTGCTAGCCCCTTAATAATTTTTTAATATGTAAATGAAAAGTGTGGTTAGAATTGAAAATTACTCCAAATAAAAGATCAACTAAATGTTTGTTAGAAAGACTGTTGTTTTTTTTACATTTAATTAATAAAAAAGCCTGCAGTATGAGGGTTTTGATTCAAGTAAAAGAGCATAATGACTGTTTTATGTGCATTAACAACAAGGTTTAGTTTTAGGTCTACTTGTAAAGAGGTAGGGTTGTTATTTAATGTTTTCAGTATAAACAATGACCCTAGAATGTAGACCAGTAAAACATTTGTTAATATATGCAGTAAAAAACAGTGCATTAAAGGAGGAACCCAGCTGTATACTGAAAAGAGAAGAAAAAAATCACTAAAAGAAAAATCACCAGCTTTAACATGAAAAGTACAAAATGAAAAATAATTAATTCAACCATTAAATGAAAGCTGAATCAAGATCAAATTTAGAACTCAAGATTTTGAAAAGGATGCTTGGAAGAACTGAGTCAAAAACTTGTTTTAGGTCCAGGTGAACAGAAAAGCAGGCTGCTTAAATTTTAATGTTTCAAAATTGTAGATTGCATGACCACATGAGAACTCTAGTCCTTGGACATAGTTCTATTTTTTACAAAAATATTACTTTGTCTTTTGGCAACAAGTTTCTTTATTGTGGCCATACACTCAACAAGTAATACATCTTGTAGGATTTGATATATAAGCAAAAACAACACAGTTTGAATATGCTACAGTATTTTGATATATGTAGGAAGCTGTGGAATATAAAAGCCAATGCTATGTTGTTGGATATTGTTATATTTACTATATTGTACATTTAGTAGACTGTTATGAGTCCAACTGCACTAAGATTTCTAGAAATTTTATCATTTATAGTTTTTTCCTTAGTTTGTACAGGTTTGAATGTAAAAATAAAAAATTCATTAAAATTTACCAGTATAAATATGTTGTAGTTTTTCTAATCAAATTTTTGTTCAGAAAATTTTTTTATTTTTACATTCAAACCTGTACAAACTAAGAAGAAAAAATTTGATTGGAAAAATTAGAACATATTTATATTGGTAAAGAATAATTCAAAAATTTCTGTTATTGTTTTAATAAATTGTTTTATAATAAGAATTTTAAATTTTAGATGCATCTGAACAGATTGGTCCTGTAAAATGGAATAGACCTTACTTTGATTGTGGAAGATCAAATAAATGGATTTATGGTGCATCTGTTCCATTTCCTGACATCTATCCTCGCCATACAGGATGGAGACATATTGAAATACCTATGTGAGTTTAAAAAATGTTTTAAATGTATTACAAGATATTTATTTTAACAGATCTCTAAAATATTTTGGTATTAAATTTAATATTATACACATAAATATAACAGGAATTAACAAAAGAACTGAGTACTTTTAAGAAATCAATTTATCTTCTTTTAGAAGACAAATTGATTTTTCAAAAATGCTCACAGATTATTTTTTAATATTCTGTTATATATCTGTATACTATTAAATTTAACACCAGAGAACAGTATTTTTATTATTTTACTTGACAGGTCTGTAATTAAAGTTTATTCTATAAAATGTACAGTACATTTAAAGAAAAAAATTTCAATATATGTTTAGAAGAATATATCATTAAATTTATATTATGTTTTATATGTTGTAAATTTTAAAAATATTTGTCAAGCATACAGGATGTTATAATAAGCTTATTTATATTAAGATAATTTTATTTTAATATATTTAGTATAAGGGCAGTTTTTAATTTCAACTTCTGTTTGACTTTATTGTTATTTGTTTTAATGAATCATTTTATTAAATCTCAATATACAAATCTCAATATTATATTTCACATGGAGATTTCTGTGCTGATGGAATTTTATTTGAAAACAAAAGAAGTTAGTTACAAAAGTGTCCACTAGGGTGGTAAGTGGCACTGCGATTCCATAATAAATCAAACTGTCTCAAATTTATGATACATACATGTATCATAAATATGGAAAAGTATGATCGATATGATGGCCTCTATTGTTGGGAACATGCTGAAATTGCCAAATCACATGTTTAACAACAGTGCTCAGAGTTTTGGAAGCCAGATGAAGCATGCTGTTGAGAAGTCTCCATGTGAAATATAATGTCACTCTGAGGATTACTTCCTAAGTTATATCTTCTTGAAATGTGATCTTTAATTATGAACATCCTGTGTTTTATCTTAGCTATTAATATGTATAATCAGATTAATGATGCATGAGAACTGTATTCTACAAAATAACAAGATTATATCTGGTGGTTTTAATAAATAAATAAAATTAATTATTCAAGAATCCAATAAGAGTTAATAAATTTGTAAACTTTACACATCAGTGATTGCATAATAATTTATGAAAGATGCTTGTAGCACTAATAAAATATTTTAATTGCTATAGTCAACTGTGAGATTGTAAATTAAACTTAAAGTTTTTTTATATTTGCTTTATTTTAAAATAGATTGAGAATAATTTGTGAATTATCATAAATTACTGTAATTCATTATTACTTTTAAGATCTTTTATTTAAAATTATTGATCTGATACTAATAATTTTTTTAGATATGTTGGAGTGGCAGTAATGGAATTAGATTTTGAAAGAATTGATATTAATCAGTGTCCACTTGGGAATGGAAATCCTCCTCCAAATTATTTTGAAAGTACTGCCAAATGCAAAAAAGATACAACAGAGGTAGTATTGATTTAATTTTTTGTTAAAATTAAAATTACATTTTGTATATTATGTTTTTAAAATAAATTAAGTATAATTTTGTATCTTAGTTTTACAAAGTATTGTTTATTATATCTATAATAATGTTCTGAGTTGGTTTTAAATTTTGAGGAAATCTAGGAAGATATATTTTTAAAAATATGTAAATCCTTAAAGATATTTTTTAGAGATATTAAACTTAAATAAAACAGATATAAAATTAAATATTTTAGTGTAAATTATTCTTGAATTCATTCACTTATCAGAATTATGAATAAATACATTTTAAAATTACACCAAACTAATAAAACTGATTTGTATTTTTTTTAAACATCAGTTATAACAAAGAAATAATTCATTGAAAAAGTGCTGATATTGTATATTATTTTTAATAAATTTTAAATGATCAGTGAAACTTTGAGGAAAGATTTTTCTTTAAAAGATTTTAATTATTAAATTGTTTGGAAATTTTTTACTTCTAGTAATTAATAATTCAAAAACTTTTATTATGAAAGAAAAAATGATGGTCTTAGTTATTTTATAGCATTATAAAATAGAAATTTTCTTAAGTAATGACAATCTTTATTAAAGTAAGAAACTCAATAAGCAATAACAAACTTACTAGTAATGATTGGCAAAAAAGGCAATTTATTTTTCTGAATCTGTGATGATCAGTAGTGCAACATTCTAGTTTTTGATTTTAGCATATACATGAAAGTGAAAGAACTACAAAAACATTTTATAAAAGAATTTTTATTTTTATCTGATTTTTTGAATTAGTATTTTNCCGAGTCTACACTTAGAAGTGATAATTTTATATTTTGTGCACGAATTGATCTCCCATACAATAGTAATATGAACTCTATCTACAAGGTGTCCTCTACCTAAACAGAAACGAAGACGACAACTAACAGGTCGTATGTTTAGAATCATTTTGTGAGCTCTCTCTCTCGAACGCGCATTAGCTTAAATTAAGCCGTAGCCTATAGCTTGTCGATTTATCGTTGTATTTGGTTATTTGTATTCGTTTGTTTAAGATTTATTAAATTATACTTATGTTTATTATAATAAGAATGTCTCCTCAATTCATTCCGAATCAGATCGCATACGCGTGTTAATCCGCGTGTAAAATAAATGATTAACTGGTGTCAAGGAATCCTGACGTTAGATATAGTCTTCGCCGCCTATATCCAATCAACATTTTAATAGCTCTCCTATGAAATAGATTTGGATCGGATCTTACGATTCGAAACCTTGGAGATCTATTCTCGCGGAATAGTGCCGATTAAGTGGTACGAACGATCCTAAACGGTGTTGTACCCCCGGCTGATCTCACATTTGTGTC